TGCTAGTTCATGTCTCATAATTTAAAAGAATAATATAACATAGGAATAAAGCACAATGTGAGATTTAACATTTTTCTCTACATAGGATACTTTGTACTATATTCAAATCCATATTTATTAAATATTTCCAAATAGTATCTGGAATCTTACTCACTATTCACATCAATTCTGATGCACTCTTTCTAAAGTGAGAAGGGGGAAATCTAGCTAATGCATCTTCTAATGCAAATTATCAGTGAGAACAGAAAAGAACTGAAAACATGAAGATCCACAGAGGAAACCTTTAAGAAAGAAGCAAAGGTGTTAGAAAAATCCATGTGTTCATAAAGTCTTTTCCTATGCCAATGTCTTCTAGAGTTCTGCCTAACTTACCTTCCAGCAAGTTTAATGTTTCTGTTTTAATATTTAGATCTTTAATCCATCTGGATTTTAATTTATGAATAAATCCTCAGTAGCATGGGAACTAGCAGATAGAATCAACAACTGGGATCTCATCTTATTAAAAAGCTTCTGTACTTCAAAAGGAACCATGAGCAGAACTAAGAGAAAACCTACAATGTGGGAAAAAATTTTTACCAGCTGTTCCTCAGACAAAGGACTATTATCAAGAATATATAAAGAACTCAAAACAATCAGCCCCCCCAAATATAAAGACCCTATTCAAAAATGGGCATCCGAAATGAACAGACATTTCTCAAAGAAGTAAAAGCAGCAAGTAAATATATGAAAAAATGTTCCACATCACTGATCATTCAAGAGATGCAGATGAAATCAACACTGAGATTCCACCTCACCCCACAAAGAATGGCTGCTATCAAGAAATCACACAATAACAAATGTTGGTGGGGTTGTGGGGAGAAAGGAACCCTTCTCCATTGTTGGTGGGAGTGCAGACTGGTGCAACCACTATGGAAATCAATATGGAGATACCTCAAAGAGCTTGGACTGGAGGTTCCATTTGACCCAGCCATCCCTCTGCTGGGTATCTTTCCAAAAGAACTAAAAGAATCATATCACAGAGAAGTATGCGCACCCATGTTTATAGCGGCACAGTTTGTAATAGCTAAAACTTGGAAACAGCCCATTTGCCCATCCGTTGGAAATTGGATAAAGAAGATGTGGTTTTTCTATAAAATGGAATATTACTCAGCCATAAAGAACGAGAAAATAGATTCATTCATAGGAAAATGGATACATATTGAAGATATACTCCTAAGTGAAATAAAATAGGCACACATGTGTAAATACCGAATATTTTCTCTGGTGTGAATAATCTGCAATAATACAGAAGATCCTAATAAGATTACTGACATTGAGAAATGGGAAGAAAGGAGCTAAAGGTGTAGGGAAGGTGGGATGGGTAGGGGAAGAGTAAAAAGGAAAAAGAAAAAAATGTGAGAGAATGAAAAGATGAAAATAAAGTGTTTGTAGATGGGGAGGGGAGGAGCGGGTGAAGGGACGGCACAGGTAAGGGGAAAAAATGAGAACCAAGACTTGTCATGTAGAGGTACAAGATTCCAACAATGAATGTAACTATACTGTATCCCTAAAATGTACCAATAAACTCAATTAAAGCTGGGAAAAAAAAAAAAAAGAAAAAGAAAAATCCATGTGTGACTTTCTGCCCAGCCCTGCAACCTGGGCGTGGGCCATGGAGGAGGGAGCAGGGGCTGGGAGCACACTCCTTTCTGCAGCTCCTGCTGCCTGGGCTCAGCTTCAGAGCGCTGGTCTTGAGCCACAGGGAAGTGGGGCCACGTCACACTGTCACACTGATGCAAGACACTTGCCAGGTAACCCAAATGATAAGAGGAGAGTAAACACCATCTATTTCTAAAGGAAGCTTACTGTGAGAAGGATTTGGGCTCCTGTTCACTGAACAATGGTGTTTAAATAGACAAAATAAATTTTTTACATGAACTTCCATTTTTCTAGGATTTTTCCAAATCCATTTTCTGAGGCTGGATCACATGTGGTGACAAGAACCAATGAGTACCCCAACAGAGTAAGGGAACAGAGCAGAGAGAAGAGGGGACCAGACCACTGAGAGATCCAGTCTCAGCACTAGGGTTCAAAGACCACTCCCTCACTACTGTGTTCAAGGGCAGCTTCTCATGCCCCATGGTTTTGTATCTATGGGGATCTTTGGCTTAAATTCAAGTATCCTTTAGGTATCATGAACCCTACAATATAGCCCTAAAATATTGTTTACTCAAAAGTTTTAATGCTACAGATTACTCTGAAATTGTCTACAAAAAACTTGTTAATGATGACTCAATTTATTCATCATGACATTGTCCTAACTTTAAAAACATCTGCTATAAATGTGAGGTACTGGGTGAAGCTGCCTGCCTCTTAGGCTACAGATTATGGGTGGTGGGGTCACTTCAGACTAACGCAGATCGGGGAGACACAGCGGCACTGACTGAAGCTAATGTGTCACAATGGGCTCCACAGAGGGAGCTCATTCCATCTAATAAAAACCTCATGCATTTCAGCAAATTAAGAATTTTATTTCTGAGATTATATTCAAGAGAAGTGGGCTAAACAGACATTAGAAAAGAAAAAGTATACCAAGTATAAAAAGGTCGCAGTGATGAGACATCTTCACAAAAGCTACTGTATTATTTTACCATTCAGGACCCTTCCAGGACAAACAGTCTTAAGAGAAAAAAAAAAGTTTTGCCTTATATAACTAAAGACCTAGAAAAGTTCAGGCATGACTAGATTTAGGTGCACAGGTGATATTATCAGGAAGCTTCTTTCCTGGCTCTATCCTCAGGGATGCTATCCACCTTAAGTAGTGATCAAAATTATTTCCACTTAGCCTCCTATCAGCCTATCATCATCAGTAGAAAGAAGATGTTTTTTTCAAGTGCTTCAGGAAAACAGGAAATGAGACTCATTGGCTTAGCTTGGTCATGTGAGCATCCCAGAGCCAATCTCTGTGGCTACTCTCATACCTTGTTGTCATTGGTCAGGTCCAAATCACATGTCTAAACATGGATTTATGTAGTAGCATGAGCCTTACTTTAACCTAAGATACTACTTTTCTATGGGCTGCCACAACAAAGTACCATAATCTGGGTGGTTTTTAAAAATGAAGATTTGTTTTCCTACAATTCTGGAAGCCAGATGTCTAAGACTAAGATGACACGAAGGGTGGTTTTTCTGATAGCTCGCTCCTTGGCTTGTGCATGGCTAAATTTTCTCTGTGCTTTTACATGGTCTTCTGTGTGTGTGTGTGTGTGTGTGTGTGTGTGTGTCTCCTAGTATATTATAAGGACACCAGTCATCTTAGGGTCCATTCCAATGGCCTCCTCTAACTTTATTACCACTTTCAAGGCCCTATCTCCTAATACTCTGCTTTTAAGTTTAATCTTCTAAAAAATTAGGAAGCTCTTAGTAATTAACCGTTAGTAATGCCAGGCAGGCAAAAACAGTAAGACCTGCCATACCTTTTCAGTTTCTTCAGGTCCTAACTCCAGAAGTCTTCAGTGCATCTGCTACAGACTTATTTGAGGCAACACATCTAGTCCCTCAAGAATGCCCATACTTGGAAAGTTAGCACCTTCCATCAATAGTACTGGAAAGGAATTTCAATGCTTTCAAACCATATTCCTTAAATGTACTCCATTAAACATTAGTTTCATTGGGGATTTAAATAGCTCTTACTGAAAAGGATTATGTGGTAAAAAAAAAAAAAAGTTTGTGTTTTGTTGTGTTTGGAAACACTTCACTCAAATTAGACAAGTTTCTAGCCACATTTCTTTCCAGACCTTTTAATATGTTAATACCCTTTGTGAAGCCCCAAGAATGAGCGTGTAATCTGAAATATGTACCATTCCTCCAAACACACAGTAAGGAATGCTTCCTTGTAAAACTGACATCCACATAATAGGACATAAAATTAAATTTTGATTGGGTGGAGGAGGCAGGGCAAAAAAATGATTAGACAGGGCTGCTGAAAACTGGCTTTTGCTGATTCTGGAGAGCTCTAGACAAATCTGGTGCTAAAGAAATGTTTGTGGCTCTCCCAAGTTCATATGCTGAAATCTGACCCTGATGTGATAGTATTTGAAGATGGGGCCTTCAGGGGGTGATCGGGTCATTTGGGGGCTCTCATAAATGGAATTTGTGTCCTCTTTTTATTAAAGAATCTCAGCTGCCTCTCCCCTTTTTCCACATGAGGACACAGCATGAAAATGATATCTACGAACCAGGAAACAAACCCTTACCATACACAATATCGTGGCACTTTGATCTTGGACTTCCCAACTTTTAGAACTGTGGGAAATAAAATTCGGTTGTTAAAAGCTACCCAGTCTATGTGTTCTGTAACAGTGGTCCAGAAGGACTATGATATCTGACACATTAAAGAGCTCAACTTCAGCTGCCAGGCAACAGGAAATTCAGAGTTAAAAGAAGAGGGCCAACCAAGGCTGGCTGCAGAGAAAAGTAGAGGTAATCAGAACAAAAGGGTAAAGATGGGTATGCTGGGGTCCAAGCCACCAAATTCAGGAGTTTTAATAAAATCTATCATCTATCTGATGATTTAGGGGCTGCGAGGTCAACAGTGATATTTCCTTGGGCCAGGGATTTAGCTCAGTGGTTCTGCCACCTACCTTGCACGTGCAAGGACCCAAGTTCAATCCTCAGTACCCCAAAAAAACAAAAATAAATTAAAAAAAGATTTCCTTAACATCACTTGAGTGTCTGGGTCATTAACCAGGAAAGACTCATTTTATTAACTCATCAGAATATATATATAAATGTGTGTACATATGTATATATATATATATATACACACATACATACATATATATTAAAATGAAATAATCTGGGACTAATCCAGAAGCAACCTACTTGCCTAAGCAAGGAGTACGGATCCATGATGCAATAATGTCTGTAGAACTCAGCTGACCCGCAGCAGCAACATACATACTGAGTAAATTGACTACCATATAAAGTTGGAATTAAGCTTAGCATATTACAACACTTACTTTTTACTTGAAGACATGGAAAGAATACCCTTCCACATACCATTCTCCTGCCATTTGACCTATGAAATAAAATGGAGCACAAAGTGTCAAGGAGACTAAGCCATCTTTCTGACATGTGGTAATTACCTTTACAACTATACCTCCCAATGAATCCCCTAAAAACGCCATGGCTCAGATTCTGGCAGTGTTCATAAATCACTAGCTCTGGCCCCTTAGAAGTTTAGGAAGTTGGCAAGGACACCTGACAGAATTATTGCTTTTATTAATGCCATGGGCTTGGATTATTTATTCAAGATTATGAGGATCTGAAAAACATGTACTCCAATTGAGCCCTCACCTAAATCAGAAGGAGGGGTGCAAAGCCCCTTGTGAGAACAAATTCTTGCTATTTGCTGCTATTGGGAAGAACTTCTTCAAGGGATATAAGGAGCTAGTTAAACTCTAGGACAAATAAAGATGATTAAAAGTATCCTTTCTGTTCCAAACACTATAAATGTCAAACACATGTTTCGCAGTTCAACTGTTTTAAAATATTTTCCAACATGACCTTTATAAATATTTGTATGTCCCTCTCACTCCAAGCAGCCAGTGACCATTGGAGGAATCCACCAGGGAGATGCAATGAGGAAGTGTTCCCAGAGCGTGAACTATGTCGAGAGTAAGTCAGCCCCTGAGAGCATGTGTATTGCCTCTTCCAGGTCACAAGGCTTCCAATTAGGCTATAATTACTAGATCACTAAATTATTCAACATGCCCTGAAAAGAAAATAAAGCTTCCCAAAGTGGAAGGAGCAGACAGAACCTCAGCAGGAGCAGGAAAGGCCTTCAGGAACCATGCATTTCCATCTTCCTCTTGTGGATGAAGGAAGTGAGATACAGAGAACAGCAGAGAGGAATCCACCATCCATGGAACATGGCTCCATTCTCACCAGCCGAGTTACCATTGAGTGTAACTTTCAAAGTATCACGTCTGGCTGCTTCTCCTTCTCCTTCTTCCTATCTGTCTCTACCACTCTGGGTTCTTGCTCTTCCAGACACCAAAGTGGGGGTAACCTGTGGGGTATCCATTTCCCACCTATCTGCCATCCAATGTCATCCCCCAGAAAATCAAACCACCTCCCCTCCCCAAGCCCAGACCACGTCTGAGCCATAGGCTGTTTTCCCCTGTCTGGTCTCCCTTCCTGGCAGACTTCTCTGCCTTTAAGGTCCCTCTGAAGATGTACCCAACTCTCCCTGGAAGTACTCTAGTCATTACCCAGGTATGGTACAGTGCAGCATTTACAGTAACTGATTCTAACTATTGTTTGCTTGTCTATCTCCTTGACTAAGCTGTGGCACCTACACAATGACTGGCACATGGTGCATCTTAAGTAAGTTGCAATCTCTTCTACTCCAGGTCCCCCTTCCACTCTATCTGAAATCTGTATTTCCTGGACCATTCTCCCTACATTTTCAATTTTCTAAGTAATGTTCCACCCACATCTCAAACCCAACATTTCCCAAACTAAAGCCACTGTTTCCTTTGCCCATCCATCCACCACCCCCAAATCTTTTTCTGCTCTTCACCTTCTCATGGCCATAAATGCTATTATGATCATATCAGTCCTTCAAATTAAAAACCCAAAGTTACTATGGACTCCTCCTTCTCACCTGCCTTTTAACAATCACAAAACCCTACCTGGGTGTGGTGGCACATGCCTGTAATCCCAGCATTCAGGAAGCTGAGGCAGGAGGACTGCCATGAGTTTAAGGCCAGCCAGGGCTACATAGTGAGTTCAGGGTCAACTTGAACTACACAGTGAGACTCTGTGTGTGTGTGTGTGTGTGTGTGTGTGTGTGTGTGACAGAGAGAGAGAGAGAGAGACAGAGAGAGAGAGAGAGAGGGATCTGCTTTCCTCTCTGCCTACATTCAGTCCTCA